GGGAAAAGAAAAAATATGAGAAAATGGAAAAAAAGTGTTTGTAAATGGGGAGTGGAGGAGGGGGTGAAAGGAGGGCAGGGACAAGGGGAAAAAATGAGAACCAAGACCTGTCACATAGGGTATAAGATCCCAATGATGATGTAACTGTACTGTATACCTAAAATGTACCAATAAACTCAATGAGAGAAAAAAAATGTAGTGCAGGGAAAAATGACTCACAAAAATGGTACACAACCATTTTCTAATTTGGGTCCAATTTTCAGTTAAATACTGTGTATTAGTAGCCCCCGTGTGCTTATAATTATGTCCAGTTCATGTGAAGATTTAGATTTGGTTCTAGTTTATTGAGTGCACCTGTGGTATTTCTTTTTTAAATCAAGTCATTTAATTGTCACAATGATATCAAATGATATCAATGATATCAAAATTAGACTGGAAATCTTAAAATCAATAGGAAAAAAGGTAGTTACAGTGTTTGAATTATATCTGATAAAGATTAAAATGTGTGTGTGTGTGTGTGTGTGTGTGTGTTACCAGAAATTAAGTCCAGGGTTTTTTTTTTTTTTTGGTACTGGGGATCAAACTCAGGACCTTGTGCTTTCGAGGCAGGTGATGGAACCACTGAGCTAAATCCCTGGCCCTAAGTCCAGGAGTATTCTACCACTGATGTATATACCTGGCCCTTTTTTATTTTTTATTTTGAGACAAGGTCTCACTATGTTGCTTAGGCTGGGCTTGAAGTTGCACCTCTCTTGCTTTAGCCTCCCAAACAGCTGAGATTACAGGTGTGTGCCACCAAAACTGACTCTGAATAAAGATTTTCCGCTGGATGTGGTGACACATACCAACAGTCTTAGCACTCTTGGAAGCTGAGGTAGGAGGATCATAAATTCAAGGCCAATCTGAACAACTGTCACACCTTATCTCAAAAATTTAAAAAGGCTGGGGATGTAGCTAAAAATCAGAGCCCTGGATTCGATTCCCAGTGTCACAACCAGTCAATCAAAAATTAAAAATAATCATCTACAGAGGAGTAAGGGTGGGTGGGGTGTGGTCTCCTCCAGGGTAATGCAGTGTCTTTGAGCATCAAAAGACAACAGAGCGATTAGGAAACCCACAGAATGTGGACAATTCGCAAATTCTGTTTCCAAAAAGGGATTAATGTCCGCAATAAATAAACACTACAACTGAATTAAAAAAAAAACCTAAGCAACTGGATGTAAAAATGTGAAAAGAAAGTGAGTATGCATTTCTCCAAATAAGAAACAGAAATGGCCATAAGAAGAGAGGACAGAGGGACAATAATACCAAATAATACCAAACTCTTGAGAGAAGCACACAAACACCTTGTTCACTGGTGAAGGAAAAAGATGGAGATATTTCCACTAAGTTTGGAAGGATTTTTCATTGAAAGAACTACTAAATGATGTGTCCCGGCAGGGGAGAAACTGAAATTAGGAAGATGTAACGAGATGCAAGGAATAAAGAAGGAACAAAAAGTTGATCAACGTGTAAGCAGATAGTTGCTTGCATTGATTGTATTAAACAAAATTAGGAGCGGTAGTCAAAATGACTAATGTTGGGAGTAAAAAAAAGTGGAAGTAAAATTCTAGGCAGGTATTACATGAAGGACAGGAATGGGGGATAGAATTCGAAGACTTCTGATGTGCTGAGGAGGCGGGTGGAGATGACCGGATGTGGCTCCGTGGTTTTTGACGACGGTGCCAAGACATATCACTGGGGAAAGGGTGGCTTTTTGAAAAATAAAAAAAAAAAAACTCAGTCATAGAAAGCGAAACAATCTGATTTTAAAATGGGCGCAGAATTCAAAGATGCATTTCTCCGAAGAGGTTACACAAGGGCCCACCAGGAATATGCGGGTATCGACGCCAGGAGCTGTCAGGAGGATGCGAGTCGAAGCTGCGGTGAAAGCATCAGCTCACACCCTTCAGGAGAGCAACTTCCAAGAACAAAATGTCACCAAGTTACAAATACTACTGTGTAGAGGAATTAGAAAATTGAAGCCCTCTGTATTGCAGTGGGAATGAACGGGGCAGCTGCTGTGGAAAACAATATGGAGGTTCTTAAAAAAGAAGAAAAAAGGAATTACCAGATTGTGAAAGTATACCCAAAAGAACTGAAAGCAGAGTCTGGAGAATATATTTGGACGACTGTATTCGTGGCAGTATTATTCACATTAGCGAAAGCATGAAGCACTCTCAATGTCCAGTGATAGATTCATGGATAAATAAAATGTACTGTATACTTAGAATGCGGTACTATTCAGCTTTAGAAAGGAAGGAAATTCAGATGTATACTATAAAATATATGACTAGTGGACATTTTGTTAAGTGAAATAAGCCAGTCACAAAAATATCCTGCCTGATCCCATTTGTATGAGATACTTAGAGTACTAAACACCATAGATACGCACAGGATGTTGGGTGCCAGGTGCCAAAGAGAGAAGAAACTAGAGCAGTAGTATTTGGCTCATATAGAGTTCTAGTTTTTACAAGATGAAAAGAATTTAGGAGATGGGTGCTGATGATGGTTATATATTTAATATAACTTTTAAAACTAGGGAAAATACGTTAGAAAAATATCAGAAAATATTGTAAAACCAGGTAGTGATTCACTCATACTAGAGCTGCTTGTTCAAACTCATACAATGCTTCATGGGAAAAAAAAATCAAAATTAAGGAGCATGAAGGGCGTATATATATGTGGGAGCAAGGACTATGGGGTAATCCTTGTATTATTTAATATAACTTTTAAAACTAGGGAAAATACGTTAGAAAAATATCAGAAAATATTGTAAAACCAGGTAGTGATTCACTCATACTAGAGCTGCTTGTTCAAACTCATACAATGCTTCATGGGAAAAAAAAATCAAAATTAAGGAGCATGAAGGGCGTATATATATGTGGGAGCAAGGACTATGGGGTAATCCTTGTATCTTCTACTTGATTTTGTCTTAAACCTAAAACTGTTCTAAAAAATAAAAACTATCAAAAATTAAAATATTAAAAAAGAAAATAGCAGAGATGTTGATTAATTTGTTATTGTCAAGTGTTCATGTTAACATTTGAATCTAACTTTAAACCTAAGAGAGAATAAGAATAAATCCAATAGACTATAGAATATTTTAAAAGCATACTATATATTTTAAAATCAAACGATGTGTGATTATGCTACTGTTTCTTCTTTCCAATCTCTCCCTTTTCCCTTTCCGCACCCTGCTTCACACACCTGTGGTTCATATTGGACTCTCCAAAAACACTAATTATCAACCAATTAGACTTACCTTACCAATGCAAGAATGATTTAATACTAGCAAAATCTGCTAGTGTAATTCACATATTAACTGATTTATGGGAAAATATAATTATCTCATAGATGCAAACAGAAGCTTTTGCTAAAATGCACTAATCATTAGTGGTAAAAATAACTCTTAGCAGATGTGTAGTCAAGGATGTGCTAATGTATATTCAGCTATGATACTTTAACACATAAACCTACATTCTCATTGGCTTAACTCAGCAAAAGCTCTATTGCATCACCATCCAACATGACTTGTGTGACTTTTGTGTAACTTTCCTCTGAATTCTGAGTAAAGCAGGCAGGCTTTTGCCATTTAATGCGTCCAAAGTATCACATTGAAGGTGTGGTCGCTGTTGTCACCCTGGAAGGACACCTTGGGAGATTTCTTGCTTGGGTAGGAATGGTTGAATAGAGCTGTGACTGAAGATGACATTGCTTCTCACGTTCCACTGCTTAGGACTCCGCTACATGGCCCAGCCAACTCAAATCTGCTAGGAAGGCCAATCCCTTAATTAGAATTTGACCTGAATTAACAATCACATTATTTAGCTAAGGAGGTTTGGTAGGTCTTTGTTACTCCAAGACTTTAAAAATCCATCTCTTATTTAGAAGTCTGGAAACAATTGAATTTCCAAGTTAAAAAAAAAAAGGTATGAATTTCTGTATTTTCTCTTTTTCCTTTCTTATTTCCCTCTCATCCCAAGTGAAGCTAGTAACACTGACTACACACTTCTAATTTCTCTTTTTAAAATCTATTTCCCTAGAGCAACAAACTCATTAGGCATGTGTTCTTCCTTCCAAGTTATAGCAGATGGCAGTTTTACCATCACAAAATATGGATTACAGATCTCTGTTCTATCCTCTGATATTATTTTCTTTATTACCTGGCATGAAACTTCAAGGCCAAGTCTCCTTCTTGTGTTTCTCTCTCTCTCTCTCTCTCTCTCTCTCTCTCTCTCTTCTCTCTCTCTCTCTCTCTCTCTCTCTCTCTCTCTCTCTCTCTCTCTCTTTTTCTTTCTTTCATGGCAGCATTCCACCTGAGATTGGTACTTACTACATTAGTCAGACCTGGTCTGAAAACTAGGAAATATTCTAGGTATACTGTGTCAGAAGTTGCTTAGCACAGGGTTTAACCCTTGGAAACCTGGGGAATAAAGATCAGGAAGACTGTTTTCCAGAAATCCAGTCGCATAAGCATCGCAGGAAAGATGCCCAGAAGATCTGAACTGTGTGCAGCTAGAAGGTTTATTCTCAAGGATTCTTGAACACTTGGGTGCAATTCCTTTGCACCCACAGATACCTGAACATGCCCACAGCTGGCTACAGGGCATTCATTGTGGCTTCCCTTTCCTTCTACTGTCTGTGTTACACAGCTTGCTTTTGTTAGTGGAGTCTAACTGGAAACATCCTGGCAAGATATGATGGGAATGTAGTCTTAAGGCTTTATGTTCCTTAGTAGGAAAGAACCTGCAAGGGTGGAAACAGTATCGAATATTAACTAATATGTGGAACAGAAGGGTATCATTTGTCTTTGATACTGAACAGTGCAGTAGAATAAGAAAAAGACATTTACAGAATAAGCCTTGAGGAAAATGAAACTATCGTTATTTATAGAAAATCTGAACTTCCAAGATGATGGTGCAGTGGCAAACAGCTGAGAAGCACTTTCTCCGAGAGATCTGGTGTCCGGATGCTGGGATATAGCAACGTGAGAAAGACGAGGACGGAAGTGGTTCCCAGGACCCACCAGGAATCTGAAATGAGAACTGAAGATGTCTACATGCAAAATGCAAGAAAAAATTTCAATGGAAAATAATATTCTTATACAAAATCATTTGTAAGGGCCGGGGATTTAGCACAGTGGCGCCACACCTCCTGGCAAGCACAAGGTCCCGAGTTCAATTCCTGGTACTGGGGAAAAGAACCCAGAATCATTTGTATTCTACTACATCAAAAGGAATTAGAAGATGGATACATATTGAGGATATACTCCTAAGTGAAATAAATAGGTCACACATGTGTAAATACCGAATAGTCTCTCTGGTGTGAATAATCTGCAATAATACAGAAGATCCTAATAAGATTGCTGACATTGAGAAATGGGAAGAAAGGAGCTAAAGGTGTAGGGAAGGTGGGATGGGTAGGGGAAGGGTAATAATATTAAAGATTAAAGCTGAAAAAAAAAAAAGGAATTAGAAAGTAGAGTTTCAAATTATTTCTATTACAACAACAAAATATCTAAGGTACCAAAGGATAACATTAATAAGAGATAAGTAAGTAAATTATAGGGAAAAAGGAAAAAGCTTTTTGAAAAACAAAATGAAACTGAATTGATAATTATACTATATTCATTGATTAAAAACATTTCATATTATGAAAAAAAAAAAAGGAATTAGAAAGTAGAGTTTCAAATTATTTCTATTACAACAACAAAATATCTAAGGTACCAAAGGATAACATTAATAAGAGATAAGTAAGTAAATTATAGGGAAAAAGGAAAAAGCTTTTTGAAAAACAAAATGAAACTGAATTGATAATTATACTATATTCATTGATTAAAAACATTTCATATTATGAAAACAATAAGCTCTTTCCAAATTAATCGATATATCTAGTACAATCCTGACTAAATTTCCAATAGTGGTTTTTGGTATTTTTCTTTGTTTTTTACAAAACTTGATAAGCTAATCCTAAAATTCAGACAGGGGTTATCGGTATCAGATATCAAGATATATTATAAAAGGATGATAATTAATATTATCAGGCTTAAAAAATGTTTAAGCCCCAAAGCTTGATATCTTATTAGATAGACGGTATTACAACTCAGCAGAGAGATAATGGAATATTGCTTTCCATACAGAAAAAATAATTAAGTACTTCCCTCACAGTACCTGGAAAGACAATTCCAGCTGGATTAAAGATCAGGTGTGAAAAGAAATTCTTGTGATTATGAGAAGAAAATATGGGAGACTACTGGATTTGGATAGTTTTTTTTTAAACTGTGGATAAAAAGTATCAGCTGAAAAGAATGACTGATATGCTTGACTCTGAAAAAGCTTAAATACTTGTATTACAAAAATCACTATAAACAAAGCAAAAATATTGACCATAGACGGAGAAAAGATATTAGCAATAAATATAACTAGCAAATATTTTGTATCTAGATTTTGTCAATTGCACAGAAGTCTGCTAACATATATCCTTTTTGAATATCAGTATGATTCAAAATAAATAAAAATGTTCACCGAAGTCTTTTCAATTCTTGGTTAGTATAAACAAATGTCCAGCAATTAAGAGAATGGCTAAGAATATTGTGATTTACTAATACATTGGAACAACAGATAAAAATAAATGAATCACAGGTTTATGAATATAGAAGCAATATTTTAAAAATTAATGCTGAATAAAAACAAGTTTCAGGAAGACATCGAATGTTGAATATTTTCAGTGTACAAAATGCCATTGAATATATTTTGAGTATATTTATTTATATCTATTAGCATGGTAAAGATCTAAAAACATACATGGAAGTGAACTACAAATCTAAGAATTTGAACATGTTCAAGCTCAAGGATCTTCAATTGTAATAGTCACTTCTTGAAAATCAAATGAAAAACATAAAAGATCAGTAGCATATATGTCAAATGCTACGTAACTACCCAAGGCGATACGCGTGACATTGTTCACTGTTCTTGTCTATATGCTTCAAATGCTTCGCGAGTAGTAATAAATTAAAAAGGGTGGAAAGATTAGATGCCCTGCTTCCCAGAACATCAGAGTGTGTTGTACCCTAACTCTGGAGACTCAGTCTGTAGTACAATTAATGAAACATTATGCTGTGAAGGAGTGGGCCTTTTGTGTGGGCTGTGGCACTAACCACGGAGTACCGCATTCTTTCTCAAAAATGCCTGTGAGTTCCGAATGGCATCCTTTATGCCGTGATAAATTGGAGATTATATACTATTGTAAATGTTTTGGTACATGTGACATCTTCCTTTATGATGAGATGAGTGACCAATAAAGCAGTTGACAGGACCATTCAGGGATTATGACCCATTTGGCCTTTTGATAATGGTTCTGAGTTATTAAAGATACTGTAAAGGTTTCTGAGTCATGAGCAGAAGATGAAATATTGCTCAGTATTGCTTTGTAGCCACTGTTACCAATTTTCAAATAATTAAGACAAAGCTCATTTAAATTGGAAATTCACTTAATTGGACTCTTTCTCCATCCATTCTGTTGGGTGCTCATTAGAGTAAGTCACTGAACCCCGAAAGACCCTGTCATGTTCCTCCCTTACTATTCCACACTATCAGGATTTCACAGGCATGGACTCTGTTCTGGATGTTAAATAAGCTCATTATTATGGTGATGAAAACTTCTCTTTTCAAACTAGAGTAATCAGCTGTATTTCCCCTTTTTTTGGTCAGGTGTCTGACTAGATTGCTTATAAAATTATTTTCTGTCTCATACACATAAAACCCAACTTGATGGTGGTTTGGTAGTAAGTGACTTAACTTGTAATTAGAAAACAATCTTGTGATAGGATAAAACTGGAAGTTATTCTTCATGAAATGAGCATGTCTTTATTTGCAGGATGAACTCAATTCCCATTGCAAAGACTGGCACCAGAGTTTCTGGAGCAGTCTGATTCCTGGATTGAGCTTTTCCTTCAGGAATCCTGAAGCTGTACAGCCACAAAAACACAAATTCAATTCCTCATTGTTGGTTTTCTGATAGCTTTTTCTCATAGAAGAGTTTGAAGGGCAGAGCCTTGTTTCTGAGACAGAGCTGTGTTTTCACACCTGCAGTGTAATTTCACACCTTGTGTTTCTCAGCAGATAAGTGCATAAAATAACACATCAAACTGGAATAGAAAAAGATCAACATACAAAGAAAAACGCAGGTTGTAATTTGTTTCCTACCTTGCAGTGCTCTTGGAGGGAAAGGTAAATTACAAAGATCTGGGTTTACATTTTAGGAAGCTTGACTGGTTGTTAGGTGGGGAAGTGAGCTGTAAACTCCAAACAACTTGCTGCCTGCATTGAACAAAATGTAGAGAATGAATTCAGGAAACACCCAAACATTTTGATTTTTTAAAAGACCAGCATATACCTCAGTTAGGAGTAAAAATTGTAGTTTAGAGAGAAATTTTTTTAAAAGATACATGATGTCATTTTTAAATAAAATATAACTGGGGGGATAATTTTCTTTGCAAATTCGCAGCTCATGTAAACATTGCAACTAAACTAGCCAACGGAAATCACTGGTGTTTTCTCATTTCCTTCTTTGGCTTTTGCCATAGATACATATGGAAAACTATTTCTGCTCAATTCTGTGGGTCAAGAGATGTCACGCTGCAAGACATCCCTTCGACGTGGTCAGCCCAATCCTGTGTACAAGGAGACCTTTGTCTTCCAGGTGGCCCTCTTCCAGCTCTCGGATGTCACACTGATGATTTCCATTTATAATAGGCGTACTATGAAGCGTAAAGAAATGATTGGCTGGATCGCGCTGGGGCAGAACAGCAGTGGAGAGGAGGAGCAAGATCACTGGGAAGAAATGAAGGAAATCAAAGGCCAACAAGTGTGCAGATGGCACACGCTGCTGGAATCCTAGGTTGGCCACCTGGTGTTCGTATGCTATGTGTGCATTGGTCACCGGTATTCCTGGATGTTGATACCAAGTCATTGTATCCTGGTACTCTTTTCAGGCTTTCGAATTGAGATTTTACCAACCCTAAAATGTTTTGCGTGGGAGCTTTGGGTTTCTGAACAGTTGCCTTTAGATTTAAATATCATAATAAAAAGCTACAATACCCAGCTAAACGTTCAACATGGAAAATGTTGCCATAGTTGAGGTAATTGTTGCCACTGGTGAGGTAATTTGTGCTAATAGATTGTTGAGTTTTGGTTTACAGTGTGGGATGAAGCTTCTCCAGCCTCACTGTTATTCACAGCGATTCACTGTTTCTTGGAGAATAACAAGATTTCAAGGGAGATATTAAGTGTTACTGTTTGTAATCACATACACGTATGTCAGAATTTTCTCAGTGCAAAAAATTCCAAAATACCAAAATGAGTCTCAGATGTTGAGACTCACAGAATAATGCAACTGTAATCTTATTTCACATTTTTCTCTTTATCAAAAAACCTATTTACCTAAAAAGTAAATGCTCTAAGTTGTACTTATAAAATGAATTTGTACTAATTACGCACCTCTTTTTTCTCACTTCTATATAATGATTTCTATGAGACTTGGTTATATGAGTCATTTTGAAGCTGGAAAAAAACTGAAAAACTACTGTTATACGATTTGTCTCCTTTTTTCTTATGTAAGATTTCAAACTTGTAACTTTTAGGGTTTTTGTGCTGTCTTTCTCATCGAATAAATTCCTAAATGTTAAGAAGAAAACCAGGAGATCTACATATTAATTTTTTGAATCTAATGTTTCGTGGGTTATGCTTTTTCTATAGTCATTGCTCATACTTACCTGTTTTGAAGCTATTCTTGCAGATTAATCACGTTCATATTTGTGCAGTATTTTCTGTCATGAGTGCGTGGGAAATTGCACACAGTGGGTCTTTACTAAAGGTTGATTTGGTTGACTCTTGTAGATGAACCTCGCAACACCTGTGAATGACAAAGTATTTTTCAGCTTACGTGAAACGACAACTTTTGGAGTGTTTGAAGTGCCTACACCTGTCATTTCTCATGGCATTCACCACAATGTGTGTTCGTCACCACTTGCATCTGGGCATGTGCTAGCCAGTGAGCTGATCCAGTGTGGTTACAAGCGTGGAATTTTACTTAGGAATGACTTACGTACTTATGCAGAGCATGTTTATCTTCTGGATTCCTAGATTGGAACTCTTAATATCAGTGGCTTTAAATTGGCAGTAATTAAAAAAGGAAGGAATGTACCTTTAACCTTATGCCCAACATGCAGCTTTTCTGAGCAGTTGCTCCGTGGCTTATTTTTAGCTTTTGTGTTTCATTGTTGACTTTTCCCTGTCTGTGTGAAGAGTGATAGCTAGTGACGGATGTATACAGTCAAGAACACGTAACTCCTCCTCAGCTCTACATTTTCACAGATTGTAAGGGTAGGCTATCACACTTGAAGAACTTATTTATTTCTTTCAGCCTGTAATGATTATCCTGATGAGACCAGACTAGGGCATCTACTCTACTCTCTACTGTGATTTCAGGGTTCAAATTCTGAAAGAAATGATTTCATATGAAAGAATCAGAATTTGCAGAATAAATTACTGTCTTTATTTCTTTTCAGGTCATGGACATTTCATACACACTGCTGCTCAGTTGTTGGGACTAGGTCATAAAACCATGCACCTTTGGGTTTTTACCCTACCTTGCTTTGGAAGACCTCAGAGTGCTTTTCCAGCATCATATCCATTAACTGCTGAGTGGTCTTTGCAGGGTGGCTACACCATTGAGTAGAACTGAGTGCGATTGATTAAGTAGCAGCACAAAGAATTGGCTTTTCACATCCCTTACTCTCTTTATGCCTTGTGTTTAAAGGGAAGTGGAGCAGCCTCGTAATGCTTTCCTTTATGCAGGAGCATAATAGCAGCATTCACTTTAAAATTTACATTTGAAAAAATCTGTATATTGTACAGGCAGCCTTGGGCTTTTCCCCTTCGTACTTTCCTGCTCCTCATGTTGCCTGTATCCCTTGTTCTGTGGTACCCAGTAATCACGTTCTACTTTATTTTCTGCTCTCTTGAACCACCAATTTTAAGTTTTCTGCTGGTGTGGTGAAGATATCCTGTGTGCTCGATCTGCTTTCCAATAGCCCGCTTATGTTGCAGTTCTAAGGGAAGAGATGCCTGAAAAGCACTTTTTATCTTTATAATTTTTCTATGTTGGTGCTACTCACCATATAGGAGGCATGCACATCTTGAATATATAGCAACATTCCTCTCAGCTGATTGTATAAACATAAAATTCTAAAGACAAGATGCACTAAAATAGGAGGCTGATTTTTTAAAACCTTGATTTGAAATTCTAGTTTAGTAAGATCTTTTGATTTCATGCACTTAAACTCCCTTATTTTCTTGGCAAAGTCTAGACGCAAATGCATTTACAATGTTTTTCACTTGAGCTTTTACATCCACATTTGCTTTTCAAAAGAGTTATGAGAGATAATTAGTTGGTTCTTCAGTGAGAGAGCTGTTTCTGACTACCTCATCTAGGCAGTGATTCTCATGGTGAGAGCTGACATGGAAGCCGCTATGGATTTGGGTATTAGGAATTCTTTCAGTAATTTTCCTAAAGAGCGTGCTTTTTCAATAATACTGTTGAGAGGAAGTGATGCACCAGGTTTAGGATGTCTGCTCTGTACTGTGCCCTTTCTTAGGGCACTAGTGTACATTGAATCAAGAAGTGCTGGTTCTACCAATCATGGTGGTGGCTCTTGTGATCCCTGCTTCCCTCTGACTATTGTTGAATTTTTAAATAGACCATTCACCAGGCAGCTGAACACCTGCTCAGTTCTCTCTACTTCACTGGCTGCTGTGTGATGCACAGTTGTTTTGGAGCCTGTTTTTGCTGATGCTGCATAACTGCCTGGGGGGGCGGTGGTCCTGCCTTCACTAGCGGAAGAATTTGCATAGCCTTTGGATGAATCATGCCCAGCATTCCACCTGCAGAAAGCCGGAGAAAGAATCATTGTATTTGTAAAAGGGAAAGAGGATGGTGTTGGACCGTCACTCACTTAACTCTGACACCCTGCAGTGACAGTTCAGTGATTGATTTCGAATGCTGATGTTCTCCACAGTACGAGCTGCTACACTAAGCCAGAAACACAACTTCTAACTTTTCATTATGTAGACCTGATAGCATTTTACAAAATATTGTTACCTTTTGGTTGCCTACTGTAGTTTATATTGTGGCTGTATAAGATCTTATCTGAAAACTAAAAATTTGCTAAGCAAACTATCATTTAGGTAGAAACTATCATCAGGCAAAATGAAAGTATTTCTCTACTACCCACTAAATTAATGTAATCGATGTTCAGTGTGGACATCAAATTCAGGGTTTCCCCCAAACTGGCTGTATTTTCACAGAAGAGCACTTAATATGCTAAGATACAAAAAGTGAGTTGAAAAGAGTGACTTCTAAGTGATATGAAACCAAATCAGGTATATTGTTTGCTGATGAAGAAATCGGACAAGAAAATACATGGGTGTCTAGACTTAGTTTTAATGAAACTGTAGTTAAGGAGCATTCCATGCCTGTTTCATGCAAACAACAGCAAATGATAGATTATTCTGAACTGGCAAGAGTGTTTTTATTATCTGAAAAGTTAAACATTTGTTTAGGAAAAGCTAAAAAAACTTAAAAGATCATACTCCATGTGCATGGAGAATGAAAGAAATAAATGTGCTAGATACATTTGGTATTTAATAGCATATTATGAAGAAGAGTAAACTAATAAACTAAAATATCTTTAATATCAACAGCCCTTTTGCCACAAATTGTGGCATTGTGGGAACTAATTAAAGATGGAGGAAAAGAAGTTGGTGAATATAGTGAAGTTGGCACAGACGGTGTAGTTTTAGGCTGGGGTCAGATGGAACTCTGCTAACTGTGTGGCCTTCAGAAGATTACTCAGCCAGTCCATGCCCCAGTGTCTTCAACTGGAAAGTGAAAATAATGCCTACCTCACAAGGTCTTTAAAAAAGATATTACTTGCATCACAGTTGTGATGTGCCTACAAAAAGCCTGACACACAGCTAGTATTCATGTTTCCTCAAGATAGTCATGCTTGAAAAGAAGCATTTATTTTTCTCTTTCTAGGGAGGGAAAGAACTCTAGAGAAAAACTCAGAACAATTTTCAGACACTTTAAAAGGATAGGCTCAGGAAGCTAGCCTGGATTTGCAGAGAAAGTGGATCTTATCAGGGGATAAAGCCTGGTATATAGAGGAAATCAAGTCTTAGATTCCACTGAAGAAATAGCTAAATCTTGGTCTTTTCTTCTTAGTTTGGAAGAGATGTAAAAGCTTGGTGCATGGGTGCATATCCTGTTAAATCACACACAAAGCCTTGCCCCCAATTGTGCAGCTCCTACAGGGTAGGGTACCTGGTCCCCATCAAAAAGGTTGGTAAAGATAACAACTTGACAACATATTTTAACTTTGACCTTAAAAAGTAAAATAAAGGCTATAATACTGCAATGATTTATATTAAAAAATCGATACTTTTAAAGGCATACATTATATTTCTATTTCATGTCCCTATAGATAGGAAAAATTAAGTGATCCAGCCACTGCTTCTCTTAGGGGAACCATACTCAGAGGAATTCTGTAATTTGACAATAATTCTGCTTTAAAGTGACTCGCAAGAATTTTCTTATGTAATCAAAAGTATGCTCCATTGTTCTCAAGTGATTTAAATCTTGAGTAAAGAGGACTGTTTTATGAATTTACAGAAACTTTTGTTGACGTCTGATATGGAAAAGGAGTCAGGAGAAAACAGCTTCAAGTTTATGTTACCAGGAGCCATGAATCCATCATACACTTTTCTGATTTTTAAACTAAGTCTGATTTGGGGATGCAGAACCGGGAGGCTGCATTCCAAATACTGCCAAATTGCCCAGTGTTGCCTTGAGTTCCAGGCTTCCCAGTTAAAGAGAACCATGAAAACAGTGGATAAGAATCACTGAGCTTGGGGCTTGTAGTTGGAAATAATTCAACACATAAGGAAGTTAAATAATTTGGATGGGAGGGTTGAAGGCTACAAAGTGACTTCCTGCAGCAATCATCCAGAATGTAGGGCTCTAACCAAAAGGATTTGACACCTTTTCCCTTCTTGACTCTGTGGATATGGTCAAAATATCCACCTATAATGGGCTGTGGGACTTTAACTTAGATATATGGAGTTATATGAAGTTCATTTTTCATTAATTCAAATATATTCATTGAACTTACTTTTCATCTAGCATTTGTCATATGGGATAGCTCACGTAGAATTTTAAAAATCTTTTAGAAGTGTTATGACTACACACTAAAGCCATTAATCATCATAAAGCTAGTGGTTACCAAAATATAATCATTAAGTTAGTTTACAGTCCATAAAAAGTGGAGGTCTAATCTTAGGTTACTGGTCACTTTGTTGAGGAGAGCTATAAACAGCCTTAAGCTTGCAGGGAACCTTGGTTACATTACAGGAAAATTGCCCAAAAGGTCCCAGAATCATTATCTTTGGAAGTCTTTTAGAATAGGAAGATCTGCTTCCAGGGTTGATTCTGTATATGGAAATGGAAGGAAACCAGGAAGCAATCTTTGTCACTTTTCTCCTAAATCTAGTATTTTGTAGGTAACCTCACCACAGAATCCACAATCGTAATACCCTGGACAGTGTTCTTTGCTTTTGGACATTTTTTTCCACGGTGACTTTTCTCTGCTTCATAAATATTTCTCTAGGGGGTTCTCATTCGGGTTTTGTTTCAGTAACTTTGGGAATGCCTGTAGGCTCTCCTGCTATGGAAGAGACTGCTTTCGTTCCCTGGGGTCACAAAGCAGTACCCTAGACACACAATCACTTATATGTATGGCCACTGTGAAATAGTTTGTGGCTTTACAGAGCAAAATCATAGGTGGCCGTAGATGGATGTAGGCATTCTTCTTGGGACAAAATTGCTGAGCATTGCTAACACTTTTCCTTAGTTCACTCCATGAGAGTTTTTACTTCATGCCACTGAGTAATAAAATTACCAATTCCACTTCCTAGCTATAAGAAGGCAGGCTTCCTACTCATATGCATACCATATTTATACATTATTTTTGTTGACTCCAGTTCCCCTTCCTTAAGTAACTATGTGACCTTTTTTTGTTGTTGTTTGGGTTTAACAAAATGTATTCACTCAAAAGTCCTTAAGTGTAACATTTCAATTTCTGAACTCGAGGTCGGAAGATATAGATGAGTGAAACAATTTAAGTTTAACCAATTTTTTTTAGTGTTTCTTACTATGTTTCTGAATATTCCTAGATTCTCATAAGGTCTATAGGTAAATAATAACATCTTTTTATTTTCCTTTAATTATTTGGCTTAGTGCATTTCTAAAATTGTTTTTTCCCTCCTCTGAGAGAAAGAGGATTTAAGGAAAGTAGAAAAATTATTCTGTCTCTAGTTAATAAATAAATATTTTTGTTGGTCTATGCTTCCTTGAAAATAAATAGGTTTGTTTTGCATCTGAGCAGAGTGCAGAATTCCCCTTTTGCAATGAAGTCAGTTACAACATGAGCTAGTAATGGGATAGTTAGTATTTCTGATTTTTGTAGCTGAATCCTCTTTGCATGGCACTGAGTTAGACCCTGAGATGCTAGGTTCACACAAGCAGATGCAACACAGTGCTTCTAAGCATTGTGTGTTGTTTGTGGTACTCCCAACTACATTGGCTGGGTTATAGACACGTACCACCACATCCAACTAGTACTGTGTTTTAGTAGTGTTGTTACATTTTATTTTTGAGTGAATAAACTGGAGACTGTAGCCACAAGATAAAAGGATGATGATATAAGCAAAGAGCCCTCCATATCTCTTTGGTATTGAGGGAAACATGTATTCTTTATCAACAACCGGACTCATATGGGTCATCCTTATGAAATGGGTAAAGGTCAACATTAGGATGTTTCCAAGAGGCACATGGACCAATAATTATTTTCTAGTATCAGTTTTTAAGTCAACCTAAATCTACCTTTTGATGCTTTCAATTTCATAATATAAGGCATAGACTGGAGTTTCCCCAGTGGATTTATTATGTATCTTAATGTCATAAATGCTCATCTCAAATGTCTGCTATACAGCCATCAAGCATGCCAGTTGAGTCAGAATTTTTGGTGACTCAACAATTCTAATTGAAGGTAATATTTTAGTGTTGACCAGTTGGTGGCCCATGACAAAAAGTGGATATCTCTTATTTGATAAAGACCTTGATACGTGAGAAAAGATATCAGAAAGCTGTGAATACAATCTCCAGTGAAGCAAGGCACATATACATTGACAGAATGGTATTTCCATGAGGGTTGCTCTTAATAATATTCGCATGTGCTTGACCTACATGTCTTTCTTTTTTTTTTCTCATTGAGTTTACTGGTACATTTTAGGGATACACTACAGTTACATTCATCACTGGGATCTTGTACCTGTACATGACAGGTCCTGGTTCTCATTATTTCCCCTTGTCCCTGCCCTCTCTTCACTCTCTCCACCCTTCCCTGTTTACAAAGACTTTGTTTCTATTTTTTCATTTTCTTATTTTTTCTTTCCCTTATTCCCTTTCCCCTACCCTTCCCACTTCCCCTACACCTTGAGCCCTTTTCTTCCTATTTCACATTGTCAATTATACCATTAGTACACGTCTTTCTTAAGACTGTTAAGTTCTTTGTAGCCAGAGCCATGAACAAGGATTACTATGCTATTTGCCACATTTCTCCACAAACCATGATGGGCTTTCTTAATACCTAACGCAGTCTTTTATTGTGCCGCCATACCAGGGCAACCACAAATTAGATCTCAGTATTATGAAATGCAAAGTATTTCCCAGTATTTTAAAATGTCATTTTATTGCAGATTTATTATTTTAAATTTCTAAGTAAGATTTTAGTATTTGTGTACTTTATAGAGGCAGAAATTTCTGTTATATTTGTTGGAATCAGATTTGACAAAAAATTTTTTTGACATATATTTCCAGGTAAATGATTTTGTGATCTCTTTATGTTTTAAAATTAATGAACTTCAGTTTTTAGTGCAATTTTAGGTTCACAGCTAAACTGAACAGAAAACAGAGAGCTCCCGTAGACCCTGGTCTTCACTTATGTATACCTTTCTTTCTCTGTTGACCTCCTGTCAACCACAGTGTTGTAATCGCTGCAATCAGTGAATCTATGTGGACATATTACTTAAAATGGGCCATTTACATAAGTTTATTCTTGGTGTTTATGTTCATCGAATCCAGGACTGAGCACTGAGCTACACTACCAGCCCTTTAAAAAATGTGTGTGTGAGTATAATATGTATAAATATATATTTATATTGAGACAGGCTCTTGGTAAGGCTGGCCTCAAACTTTTCACCCTCCTGCCTCAGCCTCCTGAGTTGCTGAGATTACAGGCATATGTGACCACATACAGCTCTTCTATGGGTTTGAGGAATGTATAATGACATATATTCATTACTGTAGTATCACACAGAATATTTTCACTGCCCTAAACATCCTCGGTGCTGTTTATTCATTCCCTCTCACCCCACATCCTGGAAAATCATTGGTCTTTTATTGTCTCCAGAAACTGTCCATCTCCAGAATGTCTTATAGTTGTCATATAGTATAATATATAGATCGTTCAGATTAACTTTCTTCATTTACTAATGTGCATTTAAAGTTTTGTGTCTTTTTACACCATGATAACTTCGTTTTTAAAGAGTTGCATAATTTTCAATTGCATGGTTGTATCACAGTTTATGCCCTATTTATTTTTATTTCTAGTGCCAGTTGCTATGACAAATTTTAATGTAGATGTTCTCAGGAAAAATATAAATGGATTATTTCATGCAGTTCATTAAGTATCATGTAGCAACTCCTAAATTCAAATCAATTCCCTGTCAGAGATGTGAGGTTTACTTTACATTTGGAGAGAGTCTTACGAAAAATATCACATTCCTTCATGAATTAATGTTAGCCAATCTAAACCTTTTTTTCTCCCTCTCCTTGGAATCTAAACAGAAAAAACTTTGAAGGTTATGAGGGTCATGGCTCACATTTAGAGACTGTTGTGTTTTCTTTTGTTGAGCAAAGACTTAAATATAGGTTGATAAAAAGTGCTAATTATATTATTATTAACTCATGAAGGAAAACATCCTTCTGTTACTAGTTTATATGACTTTACCTTTATTGCTCCTGCCAAGAAACAGAAAGCTTTGTGACTATGCCCTGCCACGGTCAATTGTACAAATTAGTGAGAATGGTTGTAAGCATCATAGCCCTGAATTCTGAATGGTAGAGCACTCATGGTAACGCATAGGCAGAGTGAGTAGGTAGATGGATGCTGAAGTAGCGACTGGCAATCACTGGGGAAATGAGGAGGCCCAAGTGGTGAGCAATGTCCAATGAATATTTGGAGATCATTTCTATGTGTATTGATTGTTATTTGCTTGTAACAACTTGTGAGACCAGGTCTTTTGGAAAAGTGAAGGTGGAGTTGTGTAAAGAATACTGGATGGAAATTAATGCAGCTTGTATTTTGGTACGAATGCTTCCACTAATGAGCTTTAGAATGAATGTCAAGTCCCAAATTTACCAAGCCTACATTTCTCCATCTAGTGATAGGAAGAGTGATACTTGTTCTACTATGTTCACCATGCTGTGGGAATCAGATTCATTCATTTTTTTCCCATTTATATAATAAATCCTGAGCCCCTGGTGTGGACCAGGTCCATTTGCCTGACTAGGGAATAGACTGAGAAACATCCTGCAGAATTTTCAAAGACTCACAGAGCTTTTGGAGTCTGCAGGCAATTTTATTTTTATATTAAGGTCAGATCCATTTTTTATGTTGCTATATCAAAGTAATTGACACCTTGAAATCTCTGCCAGTAATTTGTCTGACTACAAGCTACAGTTGGAATGGTCTTTAGTCATTCTGCCTCTGGGAAAAAATAAAAACAAATATTACATTCTAGTCTTCATTGTTGTTCAAACACCCAGTACACCAGAAAAATAGTAAATCCATCTTTTCAAGTGGATGGTCAATCTTTGAGATGAAGGCACCACTCTCTTTAGAACAATTTAACTCAAGTACAAGTAAGGTGTTAAATTGAATACCTTTTATTTTCCTTCTACAAGATGAGATTTGAAAACGGCACATGGAAGTGTTCTTTTTCCCCATCAAAAAAGGACCTTCAATCTATGCTGTCATTTTATTTTGAAGAATCAGTGTGGTCCATCTCTCACCTGTCAAGTGACATTTTCACCCATATAATAATTTTCTTTCTAAATATACTTTTATTATCTCATAGGACAAGTAGAGATTTAAAAAATCATTTTATGATATATCCAAGATTTCATAGCAAGAGTTTGTGTTCACATTTCAAGATAAATCTTATTCTTCCTCTGTCTTCATATGGCATCTGAAACAGTTGTTCACATTCACACTTTTATGTTTCACCATATGCATACTGTGTGTGGCTCTGTTGTTTTAAAATATTTTATTGGTTTTCCTCTATATCTCAACTTTTGATGGGTGTCCTTGAAGAACTTGCATGAAAAAATGTAAATGTGAATGATTCATTCATTTTGAACATATGTAACAATTTTAGGAGATTTTCAGGAGGTTTTACCCTACATGGAACACACTGTTCTTAGCAGGGAATGTGCTTTATGTTACTACTCTACTGACAGCTGGAGTTGCACATGTATTAACACTGTAAATTCTATTTCATGTTTACTTTAGTACATTATCTTAATGTACTACTTTGTTCTGAGGTCTGGTGTTTGTCAATAGTGGTCAATAGCATTACATGTTTCACTACTGGGGAGACTTTAGTATAACATAGTTTAATATTTCCAAGAATAGAAGGATTCTTTGGCAAATTGATTGTTAAAAGCCAGATCTGCTGTAAGGTGGGATCCTTCTGACCCTTTCTCAGCTCTTCGTAGGCATTTTTAGACCTGATAGCTGTTGTATTTCCTCCTCTGAAGTTTTCCTGGAGAGATTCCATAGGTAGTCCATAGGGTCAAGAGAGGGGCAGAGAGTATTTTCTCCCCCCAGAGGTTGTATCCTCCCTTTAAAATTTTCTGAAAAATCTTTCAAACATCCATGTAGGTATCTTTCTGTTTCTCCTTATGGGACTGTTGATTTTGGTGTCTTCCATTAAAGAAACACAAATATGTCCTGGCTGTTAGTAGAATAGACAGGTACAGGTATGCAATGACCCACTCCTCTCTGAATTCACTTCTGCCTGTGAATAGTATTTAAGAAATGGTTTGAGCGTTTTTAAATTAAACTCAAAAACCTTTCTACCTTTTGTAGTATTCAGGATTTCATGACAATGGTTTTAATGTATTACTGTTCTTAGGTTTTCGCTGGAAAAATTAATGAAATATTTAATGTCAATAACTCTTGTTAGATACACTCTCTGAAAATAGGTTGGAAAATATAAATTTGTTTACCTATAGTAGGGAATAAATTCATGAATAGAAGAATTACACTATTTTTCCTGTACAAATAATGTTTAAGGCAGATGTTCACTCTCACAGTGATGTTGAAAAGCATATTTTATGCGGTCTAAAAACTATTTCTGTATTAAATATTTAAATGCATGAGGATGAATTCCAATTGCTTTTTGTTTAAAGCTGAAACAGAAAAGAAGCACTAGCTCAAGTTTGTACAAAATGTCTGCTGCAACTGAATTCACGATCATTCAAAACTGAAAATCATTCCAATTTTGTAAAACTGCTGCTACTGGTTTTATCAATAAAGTTTTAGCAGATGGCTTATATGTACATGTGTGAAATTTTTTATGTTAAAAAAGTTTCACAGCATCAACATGCAAATTTTATGAGCTTGAATGATATTGCTTATTTTAGTATATACAAAAACCATTAACTTCAAATACCAACTGCAGACATATATTAGAAATATAAGCTCTACATTTATGATCCATGTACTTGACTTAGTCTCAGGGTGCTACGGACTTTTACAGTGAAACCTATTCAAATCAGCATTTATTACCTCAAGTGCTTGTTTAAAGTATTGAATTTAAAATAATATCAGGTAAGTAAGGAGCTATATAAAGATAGCTGGGGGCTGGGGACTTAACTGAGTCGTTCTGCCACCAGCCTCACAAGCACAAGGTCCCGAGTTCAATCTCCGGTACGGAAAAAAATAAAAAAAAGAAAGAAAAAGGATGAGTTAGCTAAATTAGATCTGAAGAGGATTCTGAGAAAGTAAAATGTAGGTGCTCGTATACAGAGGTAGGTAGTTCCTCTCATCAGAGATGCTCTTGTCCAGACCTCTTCCCCCTTTAATAAATCTGTAAGATCCAGATACAGCAAGCTCAAAAAAGAGGGAGCCAGCCTTTCCCATCCAAAATCTCCAGAACAGTGACAGCATGGCTGACA